TACCCCTTCCTCTGGGCTCCTGATTCTTTCTGCAGCCTTTCTACTGCTACTCCTTCGCTTCTTCTAACTGCTGTCTTTCAGCCACACCCCTAATCTTCTGGTAGGAAAGATCTACTCCTAGCCTTCTCGGACAAGGGCGAAACATCTCGGAGGGCCTGTGTGCAAATTGCGCACGTTAAAGATCCCTTGGTGGTCTAAAATCGATAAGAGTAGGCTTCGGCCGCCACCATGGCAAAATTCAAAATTTCCTACCAACTGAAAATATTAGGTGTGTCCTGCGCGCTCATATGACCTTATGCAGTTGCGAGCGCCGTAAAACACTTTACAAAAAACAAACAGAGCTGTTACAAGAGAGTAAGAAACATAAAAAAGAAGAAGGGGAGATAAAGACGATAGATGTTTGATAAGAAAGAAGAAGCAAACCACACCAGAGCACCTGCCAACCACCCACGAGGTTGAGATTGTTACAGAATACTATTAGGTCTGCTGGGGTAATGATATTATAGATTGTGTAAAGCGCAAAGAGCCCGCTGTTGAGCGGGAATACGTGCTATTCAAATAATTCTTATTATCATTAGATTTATAATAATTAAAGCCGATCTTGTAATGGTAATATTCTGATCCGTTACGTAGTCACAGAGAAAACGCATGATTGACTGATAACGGTTAGGAAGATAAAGATACCTAAACATGCGAATTATATCCGAATACCAATTTGTGTCTCTGTGTCTATACGCTTGGACGTTCGAAACATATGAGTCGCAGTAGATCCACTTACTGGACTAACGTTACCCGAGTACCAGTGTGTGTCTGTGTGTATGTATGTCAGCCTGTCTGTCCGCATGTAACAATATTTTATTAATTCCACTTGAACTACTGACAGGACACCTGTTAAACAGGTACCCGTGTGTGTGTGTGTGTGTGTGTGTGTGTGTGTGTGTGTGTGTGTGTGTGTTATGTGATCTACCCGGTACCCAGGCGGGGATTACGGACCATGGCCAGACGTACAGGGGGAGGGGGCGGGGTCAGGGTCAAGGTTATAGGGGACGTGGGAAGTCGGTTATTTTAGTTAGACAAAGAGGTTAGGGTTTTGTTTTAGTTATTTCATTTTTATTTGGGTCAGAACTTTACGGAGCTCGCAACAGCATAATGCCGTATGAGCGCATTAGTTAGAGTTTTACGGCACAAGCAATACAATAAGGTCATATTCACAATTAGGTCATATAGGTTCCGAAGATTAGAGGTGATAACAAGCGAGTTACGAGCGCTAAAGAGGAGAAGTAAGGACGATACAGGATAGATATCTGATGAGAAAGAAGAAATTAAATCACACCCGAGCACCTGCCAACGGCCCACTTAGTCGACGTCGAATTTAGCTTGCAGTACACCCCCAAACAAATCGAATGCCTTAGACATCTTATACGAATGTGGTGACAATTATAGTCAACTTCAAATTCCTACTCAACGGATTCAAAGCATAAGGACGGCCAAGAAAAAGATGCATCCATGAATCCATGGAGCCAAAGAGACCCCCCAAGAGAACAAGGTGTCGATCCAAAAGTCTAACACTAAGGCTACATTCACTAAGGCTACATTTCCAGTCGACACCTTACGCGGATAGAAACTGTAAAATTAAGTTAAGGTTGGGTATCGGGTAGGGTTTCGTGTGGCTTTTGGGGTTTGGGATATGGGAGTCGGGAGTTACGGACAGATAAAGAAAGGTACAAGGTTTAAGATTCGCTGTATCAGGGACGGGTGGGAGTTTGAGACGGAACTAGGGATGTGGAGGAAAGCCGATGATAAGGTACACTTATTGGAAAGAAAAACGATATTAACAAGAGATCGGGAAAAGAGTATACGATAGTCCTCAGCGGTTACAGGTTGATGGTAGGCCTGATGACATCGCACAATGCACCGTGTATTCTCTCCCAAAATGTGTAATTGGTTAGTCCAAGGGCTGCGTGTAGACATAAACGGGATTAGGGTATAAAAATGATCACGTTATTGTAACTCCATGCATCATCATCATTATCATTATCACTGTCGTTAATATTTTTATCATAACTCTGCACAACGTCACAGATGACTCTGGTTCGAAGCCTTTATGATCTCTCTTGAATGTGTGTTGCGTGGCGCTGTTTTCTAGTCACTTTGCTATAACTTATTATTCTTATAAGACGGCTAGTCCTCAAATAACAACATTCGGTTGTTTAAACAGCCGTTAATTATACCATTGGTAAAACAGCACCTGAACGAACGAAGACATCTGGTGACTATCAATTAAGGAAATCAATAATAATTAAGTGTTGTTTAAACTCTTCTCACGACACAAAGGTATAGATCAGGGGTGTGGCAGAA